AGCGGAACAATTTAGCTTATGCTGGCTCTAAGAAAAGGTCAGTAGCCCCATAGCCTTACCATCATGAGAAAGTCTGTCACCACTTCTATTGATTAGATCAAAGCTGCATTAAAAAGTGTTTTGCCAGTAGCAAAAGCATCACTGTCAATAAATTTATATTGGTTCAAGAAGCAGATGAATGTTGTGGACTGAAATATCTTTTCGTAACTTGAGAGCATTAGGCTGATGAATTCAAAATAATGTTAAATTAGTTGTAATTTTTAGATAACTTATGAAAAACATCTGTTTCTAAAAATGATGATTTGCTATATTTCACAGTCTGTTTACTCTGGTGTTCAGCTAGACTTACACATATAAAACTCTTCCTTACCACTACTTAATCTGCCTTCCTGTGGATTAAGTTTGTTATCTATTTACATCTGCCTGGACAACAGACAACTTCCCTCTAAGTGGAAATTTGTTACACTTTGAAAGAGACTGTTCCCTTCCATGACTCGATCAGGTTTGGAAACTTTTTGGAAAAAAAATTATAGGAGATCCCCACTCCAATATTTTATATCATATGTTTGTTAACATATTAATGTTTCAATTGGAATAGACTGATAATTGATGCTTATATTTTCCTGTTCTAAGAAAGAGAAGCAGAAAAGTGGAGAGACAAGCTTCAAGCTTGAAACTAGGCCATTCATAATTACCAAAAAAAGTGTTTCAAGCAAAACCTTTTTGTTTCTACAAAATAACACTTTTTTTTTTAGTAGAACTTATATACAAGAAAAAAAAATCCAACTAGGTATTATACAAGCAATGATTCATAAAATGATAAAACATTTGCTTCAAAATTCTCTATCGAAATACTTTGATTTCAGTATATTTTCCTGGTATCTTTCCTTACTCCTGATTGGAGACTTAAAGTGACTGCTGAGTCATTAACAGTAAACAAAGAATCACACTGATCCACAAGCTATTCTGCTATCTATGACTTAATTGTAATTTCCAGGTTTAACACAGACTTACCTGAGAAACAGTGCAAGTCGAAGTATGTGTCTCATTAATTCTCTTAGTGGACTAGTATAAACAGCTTTTTACATAATGGTTTGTGTAGTCATTTAGCAGAGTATTAGATATAACAGATAACATTCTCACTAAGACCATATTAATTACAGCTTAAACATAGCTAATCTGAGACCTATATTGAATTTATATTATTATGTAAGCATAATGTTTCCGTAGGCAAGTAATTTCCTTCATAGCATTTTAAGGAAAAGGAAATCCTAGCATCTGAGATGTAAACATGCTGATTTTATCAGATACTTAGAAACCACTTAACATTTCTTAAAACTTGAGTGTGCTGGGCTGTATTACAAATATTAGATTATGAGCAGTAAAGGATACAAAGACTGAATACCTTTTAAATTTATTGGACCAGAAGGGGTGGGATTGCAAGCAAAGAAAATGTCAGTAAGAATTATATGAATGTATGTTACTGCTCCTCATTTTGCCTTGAGTTAGACCACAGTTCTGGAGTTATTTAGAAGAACTTCTCTTCAGAAAAAAAAAAAAAAAAAAAAAGAAAAAAAAGAACGAGTGTGTCTCTATGTCCACATTGTTTAGTGATCACATAAATTCATCAGTTATGAGGCAAACTCTCTCTGAAATAATTTAGGAATTCTGTCTAATACAGATTTAAATTCATTTTTAGTTGCATGGATTTGTGGCCTCCTTATCACTTTGTTCAGCAGTTCTGCAATATAACCAAAGCTTAATATGTCTCTGGTAAATCAGTTTCCTGAAGGAATGCTTTAGGCAAAAACATATTAAATTTTTAAATTACAGATAACCACAAAACTAAGTAATTGCAAATTTACAAGAAGAGAAAATTTTGGTACAATATAAAAAACTGCATTACCATGAAACTAAAATGCCACCATCTTGTCTTCTGCTGTTAATTGTAGCATCACCACTGCTAGTAGTAAAAATTCCATTAATAATAGGCTGATAGGGCCACAGTGTTCTGTTATGTAGTTAAACCACTGAGAATTATTGTCCGTCTGTATGCCAGAAGAAAAGTGCTTCTCATTGTGACTGAAATGAAGTGGAAGAATGAGGGCTAATATGCTTGCAAATGCTCGTGCCAAGAGTCATGCAGGTGACTAGAGGGACACTAGGCAGGTTACTGCTGTAACAGCAGATGCAGAGTTGACAACCTTTTGAATTCATACTCCCCTCTCCCATTTTTATTAAAAAGTTACTTTCATATCTATAGTAATTTAATTTTTTACATTTTTTAATGGTATCTTTTTAAACATTGCGGTATATTTAAGTATTAGCCATACTCACCAGTATCTAAAAATATCAGCCAGCAGTGCTTTAAAATCTCCCCAATTTATGCATCTTTATTTTTGGAACATGTGCTTTAATTTCACCAACAGAGGTCAGTAAACCACTGAGAGACAACCATAAGTGTTGTTGAGAATACACCCTCGTCAATCTTTTTAACATCTTTCTGATAGTTTTGTTCAAAGGGCTCTTGTTTGGCTGCTTTAGTAAATATAAGCTTAGTTAACGAAAAAAAAAAAAAAAACAACAAAGTGAGTGTATGCTTATGCATGCAGGAGAATGACCTTTATTGGGGATATGAATGACATAAAACAATACATTGTTAGAGATCTTTCTGCATTAAAATGTATTAAAATATCTCTTACGAAGTTAGTAGCATACATATGTAAGTATGATCATTGGTTAATCAGTTTTTCAAGGTTAAAACAGGCTCTGATTTAAATGGTAGTGTTTTGAATGTCCTGCTGAATTTTACTTTTCAAGCCCTGTGCTGCTGAAAACCAACCTAGTGGGGAGAGAGTATTATTGATATTAATTATATCAATGATATTAATACCAGATAGAAGCACAGGAGAAACCAAGAGCTGTCACCAACTTGCTCATTTTGGCAGAAACACTCAGCTAATGGAACCATATTAATACATCATTTTCCAACTTTCAAGTGTAATGAAAAGCTATTTTTAAAAATCATTACTTTCAGTATACGGTGTTTCAGCCACATGGTTTCTATTAGTGTACAGGGGAGTTTCACAACGAAAGCTGCCTGTGCAGTACTGAAAGTGCACCTTTTATGTTGAGCTAATCCCAGAGGGGAGTCAGTGCTCATGCCCGTGTCCTTTTGACCTTTATCCTTTTAATGCATTTTGCCTCAGTAGCAAAAGGTGAAAACCTAGTTTTTATGTTTCAAAACAGACCATTTCAACAGTGATTCTCTGTGAAGCTAAGGAAAGTAACATCGGCTCCTGTGGAAATGTTGAAAGTCAATAGCTCAGCAATCAACAATAGTTTAACAAACGTGGTTTTAGAATCGTTTTTCTGACAGCCCTTTGAAGCTCACCCGTGTGGCCTCGCTGCCATCTCTCTCAACAGCTGTGAACATGTGAAGCCATTGGAGTGGAATATGTTAATTACTGTCAGCTACTGGAATTTCTCCAGGGACCACTTGTGGTTAGAAATGTGTTTCCCTAAAGAGGCGCAGTAGGCACTGGGATCATCTCTCCTGTAGTGTACCTGAATCCTCCCCTCTTAAGCAAAAGGAATCTCTCATTCCAAAGCAAAACTCAAAATATTCACTTTTGAGCATTCTTCTCTTAGGACCTTGTGTGATTTTCCTAAGTAATTTTAACCATGGAATCTTTTACTTCTATGAATAGAGCTCCAATAGGGTTTTTCATGTACATGGGAGTTTCTCAGGGACTAGACTGAGGTATATATGTACAGATTTTCATTAAAAACTGGGAAAGCAAGTATAAAATGAAACAAAATCAGAAAATATAGAAAACAAATTGACAGATGCAACTGAGGTTAGGTTTGTTTGTGGGTTTTTTTTTCCTGAATAATTTGAACTTTTTTATGGCCAAGTAAAAGCTATGCACCTTCCCTCCATGTCATCAGACAACTGCACAGACCACAAATGGTCTTTTTCCTTCAGCTTTACCTCCTGCTATTCATGGGCATTTTGAGTCTGAACCAGTTAGTATCAGGAGCTTGATGTGATGTCAGCGAGATATTCCCAACAGGGAACCAAAATAATAGCAGATGAGCTGGCAGAGAAATCCCCAGAATGGGAAATAACATAAACCCCACAGGTTCTAAGCCTTTATGTGATAACTACCCAGCACCTTTAAGCACGAACACATCCTTAAATATACCTTGTAGGTAAATTATCCCTCTGTGGTAGCTAAATCTAGTAATTGCTACCACCCCCGCAAAAAAGTCCAAGTCAGGTCAGTCTCTGGCTGCAGGAACACCAGGATGAACTCAATAATCTGCGGGACTTGACTCCCAATGTGCTAAAACAGATGCTGAGGACGTTTTTCTTGCTCTTTGCTGTAGGTGAGAAGAGCACATACTCTCCTGCACTTTTTCAAGTGACACAGCAGTCTTTTCAGATAATCTAAGGGAGTTGAAGGGAAAACAAGCCACCCTGCTCACCAAGAACGCTGGCCCTTTCCTGTAAAGGCACAGGAAGATGGCATCCACCCCCAGGAGGAAGGGGTAAGCAGGAAGAAGGAAACTGAATGTAATGGAAAGTAAATATGTTAGCTGTGAAAACAGTAACCACCAGCAGCTCCAGAAATCTTTCCTTGTTATACTCAAGGACACTGGTATTTCAGTTATTCAGTTTACAGAGTTAAAAGTACCACAATTACAGGCCTATTCCTTTTAATGTAGGCCATTAGTGCTGTTGTATTGTACTCCTTCTCCAGTTCAAAATCAAATACAGTAATCAAAGAGTAGATACAGTCCATATGAGGGATTGCTTTATTCTTCTAAAACAATCACTGCATAATGGCATAGTCCATACACTAACTCAGGGTCAGCTGCTGCAGGCTTTTAACAGAGTAAGATGTTAAAAGTGTGTTTGAGATGGTAATAGAGTGTTCCCCAGCTACCATCAACAGTAACTTGATAGTTAAGATAAAAGCACACAAAGACAGAAGTGTTATATACAAAAAGTTTAATTGAAATACCTGTATAAAAAATATGATCTCCATACATTTCACACTGTTAAACAGAAGAAAAAAATCCAAATCCAAGCTGCATAAATGCAACCAGATCACAGAAACACAGCTACTAAAATAAATTAAGGTTTATGACTCTGCCACTCTACCTTCCAGAGCCAATGCACGGAGACTGTACAATGTCAATAATTTAAAACCCTTCCAAACAGCATTACTTTACATTTCTGGTACAATAATACCAGACAAAAGGCAAACTGACTAACTTTAGAAAGTCATTCTATTTCCCTTAAATTAGACTTTGTACAACAATTTCCCATCTTCCAACAAAAAACTGATAAGGTCAGAATTTTTTTTTTTTTTTAAAAAACAAAAAGTTAACAGGAATGCAGAAAAAAAAGTGCCATGGGCAAACCACTAGAATTCCCATGGAGAAGGAAGGGAAAGCACAGTGTTGAATAATTCTAACCAAATAAATTAACCAAATAAATAGCCACAGCTGAAAACTGTGGGAGGTCTTCTAAATTCCAAACAATAAATAATTGTATAGTACATGGGAAAAACCAAGTTTACATAAACACATTATACAGGTATGGAAAAAAAAAAAAAAAGTCCTTGAATATTGCATTGATTGTGCATTCATCATGCCCATACATACTTTAAGACTCGCAGGGTGACAAAAGGCCGGGGGGAGTTGAGAAAGGGGCTTCTCATGCCCAATGGTAGAGATGATAAAAAGGAAACATGAATAAATGTTTCTGACAAAGAAGCCGATATACCTGTTCATATTTCTGTGCAGGCTATAGGAAATATTTTGAGCAGCAGAGGTGGGTTGGATTTGGAAAGGGGGGGGGGGGCGGAGTGAAATGTCTGTGTTCAAGTATTCCATCACCAGTGGATGGGACTACTTCATTCAATCACCGAACAGGTTCTCCAATGCATCATAGGAGCTGCTTCCTCCAGCACTGAGTCTAAAGGGAGCAAATTCCTATAATGAACTGGATCTTCTTTGGACATAGACAGCTCAAAAAAGAAAGTCCCACTGAAGCAGCTTTCAAAAAGGCACTCAAAAGCAAATAAAATCTAGTCCAGGCTCTATGAGAGCAAAAAAGTTTACCATGTATTCAAGAGGTCACTGCTTTCTTAATAAGGTCAGTCTTTGACTAAGTACTGGCCTGCAACTCCCAAACATCAGCGTTTCCAAAGGAAATCTCTCATTCCAAAGCAGAAACCAGCAAAGGGGGAAAACAAAATCAAGTCCCTCAGACAAAGATTCAACTACAGAATAATGAATGCATTTTTCTAGCCCCTCCTATGTATTGGCAGCAGCACTGTGGTCTTTCTGCTTGTAGCTCCCCTCCCAGTGCGAGGTCCTTAGTAATTCACAGACTCTCATTACTTGAACTTGTGCTAGATACATCAGTATCAAGGGTCCGTAGCCTTATGTCACAGTCCTCAGACTTCACTACTTCAGATTTGTGCATCCATTGATGGTCAAAAATTTGCTCAAGTGTTGGTCTGTCTGAAGGCCTCAGTGAAAGGCACCATTTGATCAGCTGTTGACATTCTGTACAAAAAAAAAAAAAAAAGAAAGCTATGTTAGACTAAGGAAGCAAAAAAAGACAATCCTGAGCAATAAAAATCCACCCATACAAGCTCGTATGTACAGGACTACTTAAAAAACCCAAAAAACAAAAACCCACTTGACCCCTATAGAACTCACCAGGTGAAATTCTTCTCCTGAAGTATAACCGTCCCCTCAAGATTTCTTCATCTTGCTCAAAAGGGATGTCTCCACAAACCATATCATACAGCAGAACTCCCAGAGACCATACTGTTGCTGACCGCCCATGGTATCTGTGGTATCTGATCCACTCTGGAGGGCTGTATACTCTTGTTCCTGAAAGCAGAAAAAAATAGAGTAAAGGTTTAAAGTGCTTCCCTGTTGTTCAGCTCCTTCTAGCAGGGCTAAATTAAATTCATAAAGTTGACATTTGGGAATTAAAAAAAAAAAAAAAAGCTTTCAATTTTTTTTTACAGGCCAAAGCCATTAGCAGTGTAATTTCAGGTCATCTGCAGGGTTACACCATCAACAGACTTGGCCCATCCGGTTGTGCTATTTCGTTGCAAGGAATAACACAGCCCCATCAGCTGACTGTTTACTGAGGCGAGCTCCCTTTCACTGACCACGTGGCGTCTGCAGCATCACACCAAAAATAGACACAAAAGGACAAAGGGGGCTGGCGGGGAGGCGGAGAGGGCGACAAGAAGGTGAAACTCAGGTCTGCCCGCATTACACGAAGCTAATCTGCTTTATCCAATTCTGCAGGGCAGTAAACAAAATAGGGCCGCTTACGATTTCTGTGTTTTTAAGGCCCCCCCCGGGCTTCTATGCGGCAGTTTTTCCCAAACCGCCTCCCCTCCCCTCCCTCTGGTGCCACGGGCTCCTTGGATACCAAACAAAACGGGGAATTCGTGATGCCGAGGGTCACGTGCGGCAGGGCTTCGGGTTTCACAACAAACAGATGTGAGTGCGGCAGCTGGGGGCGGGGGAACGGGGGAGCAAGAACTGGGGGAAATGCTCTCTCTGGTCACACACTGGCTTCTGTTCAGCTCTCCCACCTCTAAACCATCGACTCCGGCCCTGAAATCTATATCAAGTCATTTTGAGGGAGCACACTTATCTCCATCACTTTAAAATCTGCAATGCGGGATTCCAGGACACTGCCCGGAATAAGAGGGGGAGGTACCGCTCCGAGTTAAAAAAAGCACTGCATATAAAAACTGCATATCCACACATGGAAACATCCGACACTGGCAAAGCCTCCATGTAAACAGATCGCCCTCTAGGAAAAAAAACCCGCTTTTTCCAAGACAGGGAAACAGAAACTGCTGCGTCACTGCCTGGAATCGCTTTTTTCCTACGCAACTGAATACCCCTAAGCTGCTTCGGGTCCACAGGTTTCCATTATCGGTAGACCTGATATGAATCCCCGTGTCAGGGGCACTGCTCGCTGCTGCTGGGCACCAGCAACGGGTTAAGTGGTGGCTCTAGGGTGGGCATCACCCCAGGAGGGGAGCAGGAGTCTGCCCCCGACACAGGGAGGACACGTACCGTCGAAATCGGTATAGACTGTGTCCTTGAGGAGGGCTCCCGAGCCAAAGTCGATGAGCTTCAGCTCGCCCGTGCGGAGGTCAACTAGCAGGTTCTCGTCCTTGATGTCCCGGTGCACCACGCCGCAGCCGTAGCAGTGGCGCACCGCCTCCAGCACCTGCCGGAAGAACCCGCGGGCCGTCTCCTCGTCCAGAGCGCCCTTCTCCGTGATGAAGTCGAACAGGTCCTTCACCAGCTCAGGTCGCTCCATGATGATCAGATAGCCGTCGGGCCGCTCGTACCAGTCCAGCAGCTTGATGACCCCTCTGAAGCCGGAGCCCACCTTCTTCAGGAGGACGATCTCCAGGGGAACCATGACACCGCTCTGGGCAGAGAGGGGGGTGTGGGTCAGCGGGGGGGCGGCGCGGCCCAGGGAGCCCCCTCTCCGAGGGGAGGGAGGTGGGGAGGGGCAGGAGAGAGGAGGGCGTGCATGGCGGGGAAGGAGGGCGCGGCCGACGGGCCCCCTCCGCCGCTGCCGCAGTCCGAGGGGCGGGCGCGGCGCTGCGGCGGCGAACCCCCGCCAAATTCCCTCCCGACGCAGAGGGCGCGCCAGCGGGGCGGGCCCCGCCGCCCACACAATGGCCCCGCCGCGGCGGCGCCCCGCGACACCCCCGGAGTCTCCCCCAGGTACTTACAATCGTGCCCCACTCGGTCACCCGCTCCTTCACCACATGCTTCACGGCAACCTGCAGAGCGGGGAGAAAGGAGGCGCCGTGAGCGGCGGGGCGGGCTCAGCCTGCGCTCCGCTGCTGAAGG